GAAGTTCAAAAAAGTACATGTCTAGTCCATAGAATGGATATGTTTTGATTTATTCTGATTTCTATTTATGTAAATATTTTGAACAGGAAACCTCATGCGGTTTTCGAAGAATTTAGGCTTGGAATTTGTGGCCCAGTTGGCTGCTAGATGGCCTCCATGAAATCAAGCCAATAAAACAGCTGGAGAACAATATAATATGCTCCCCATAATCACCGGAGAGGAGCTATAGTTGGTACTCTGGGGACCCCTCAGAAGTGGAAAATGGACCCCTAATTGGCGACAGTCACTCGAACACCAATTACGAGTAGAAACCCCCTTTCGTACACATTGGAACTAATCAAAGACCAAACTGTGCTAAAGGGAAATGCTTTCATTTAAAATGGTAACAAAAACTGCCAGCCAGAGACACACATGGAAAAGTCCTTTAGGACGACGAGAGAAGAGACGGAGAGCAAGTACATGTACTATTTATAACAATTTTATGAATTTTTCTGCCTCTGTGGTCGCAAACGGCGGAGGGGACATCCCCGATGGCTGATGGGTGGAGGGAGGTGGGTGATGGCTGAGGGGTGTGTGTGTGCTGATTGGAAGCGGATGGGAGGAGGAGCTACTAGCAATTTGCATATTCAATTGCTAGAGTGGCAGTAGGAGACAGTCGATAGAGAGAGAGACTGTGTGGAGGAGTGGTATTTTATTGCTAGACAGCCTCCCGAATGACAACTGACTTGATTAGAGCAGAAGACTGACTGGCGACTTCCTAATGGACACAGAGTGCTGCTAATAACAAATATCCTCAAATAGTACCAGTACCTGTCCGTAGTGGGGCACTTATCATGGCACTGTCCTGGAACGGTCCGGCATAATTTTGTTTTTGGCGTTAATTGGCATTGCCTGATTGGCTGCCACATGCAACAAACAGCAGTGGCTGCAGATCGAAGCGGAAGGCCAACGCAATGGGCAACAGGAATCGCATTTGACAACAATTCAATTATCGCATTAATTGATTTGCCTTTTGGTATTTGCCTACCGCGTGCTGCAAGACCACACAGATTTGATGAGAATTTTGGTGAATATAAATCAATAATGGTATTCCTGATTTTGGCTTTCGATTTCGTGCAATTAGCACGGGCAGTGCCCGTCCAACGAGAGCTGGAACTGAGGCCAGGGAAACCTTTTCATGGTCTGGAGATAATATCGTACCATATCCTTGAGGATAGGAATGGAATAGGAATGGAATTAGGAATAGACTTAAAATTGTTGATTGCCATCAAAGGAGTTCCCAGAAACATCATCATAAAACATCTTATCCTCCATTGTAGAGCCATACAAATTAACATCATTGACAGACAGAGCAGTTGAATGTTGCACGTTGAATGGTGAATGGTGGCCCCACCTCCCCACCCGGCTAAGGCTACACTGACTAATTCAAGACACCTGCTTCCCATTCAATTCCGTGAAATACATGAAATCCGTATCTCAGGCAGGAAGGACGCGCGATGCGAACAATCGAAACCGTATCGAAAATTTGTTTACCAGGAGAGATGCGAGATGGGACACACGCAATAGGACGCGACACATACAATATAGCAAAGCGTGGGAGTACAATCTCTCTCTCTGTGGATGGGGATGAGCGTTGGGGTTTGGGGATTGGAGATTGGGATGGGGATGGGGATGGGGTTGTGTGCGTGGGTCTTCCATGTGTTGCTGATAATGTTTGTGCTGTCAGTTGTTGTTGCTGTCGTTGCTGTTGCACATGACATTCAATTGCCACAAATCAAGATACGGCGATGGGGAGAAAGAAAAGAAAAGCGAGCAAAACGAGGCAAAGCCACACAGTCTGTCTAAGGGATACGATTTTCGGGAGGACGAGAAGGATACTCTACGCGTACGAGTGAGTGAATGTGGGTGGGTGTATTATGGTACTCCCTTCGCCCTTCGCCCCTCGCCATTCTCTTGGAGGCACGTGCCAACCGTTGCGTTGTGGAGACGTCTCCCGATTTCGGCTTCTGCTCTGTTCGCTTTTACAAATGACAAGCCCAGTTTGTGCCACACATTTGAATGCTTTGTGCCTGTCGTGTTGCTGTGTTGCGTTGTGTGCCTGTTGTGGTGTGTGGCATGCTGCATTGTATTTTAATGTTCCTGCCGTTGTGTTATCATAAAATAAAATTTGCCGCTGCGTACGATTACTTGTGCCCGTCCCCGTCCCTCGTAATGCAGGGGGGGGGGGGGAGATGAATAGACGGACGGGAAAAGCCCCACACGAGCATCATGCAGTTGTGCTTTTGACTTTTAAAATGGGTTTAAATTTAAATGGATTACTGCCTCATGAGGGGCATGAGAGGTTTTCCAATAGAGAGACGGGCTCACGTTGCACGGCACAGAAACAGATGCAGATACTGATAGAAACCGAATATCAATCCGTTTATCCCTTTTTCGAGAGTCCAATTATATGCCATGCCCTTCCATATAATCTGGCATAGACGGAGGCGGAACAGCCAATGAAATGCTAAAATGAAATGCGTTTCAAAGTAATAAAAATAGAAAAATGATATAACACTCGGACTCGGACTCTGCCTCTGCAAATAGAAGAGTAAAAATACGTAAAATGTTTTTGCCATGGCATCCTGTAAATGTTGCACATGCAACATCCGTCTCGTCCGGTGGGACGAGGGGTGAGGGGGGGCGGGGTGGTCTGCTGCTGCTGCTGCATCTGATGAAGCGCAAATGTTTTCTCTAGCTATTATTTATAGACTAATTCATTTTGTGCGGCAATTGAACAGAGTTTTTCGGCTCCTCTTTTCGTTTTCATTTTCATTTTCATTTGAGGTATTGGCCAATTCGGATTGTATGGAAAATAAACATTAGGCATAACACGACACAGCCACACGTACACACGTACACCGTACAACATGTGTCTGACCCAAGCCATATGTTGTTGCATTTGTATTCGTATTCGTATTCGAGATACATATATCTTAAAAGTTAAATAGCCCGTGCGGACCATAAACTAGGCGAAATGAAAAACTCTAATGAAAGTCATAAAAGTATAAAAGATATACGAGTAAATATATATGCAGATATATATCCACAAAGTGGGCGAAGCGACAGAAAATTTCATTAAAAAACAGAAACGAAAATGGCGCCAAGTTTGCACATAAAGTTTGTTTTTACGCTAAACGTGTGAAGAATTCGCACCCCTCGAGCCTCGGGCTGCGAGCCTTGGGGCCTTGGGGCCTTGGGCCAGCAACAGTACAAGAGCTTAGAATATTTAATGCTTTTCCCGGCGGCCCGCTCTTCTTCGGGAGAGTCTTTGTACTATAAAAGATGTACTATAATGAAAACTGGAGATCATAAAACATATGCAAATGGCGTGGGAGAAGAGCCATCCGCAATTGCAGCTCCAGCTCCAGCTCCGCCGACATTTCTCTTTCTCATGCACCGAGTCGTGTCGAGTCGAGTCGAGTCTCAGGTCAGCCTCGAAACAAAGCTGGGAAAATGTTGTCTCACTCGCGTGCTTTCGTGCCGCGGAAAGCATTCCGTAAATGCATTTCCCATGCACTGCGAGCACTGCCAGAAGGCACAGAAGGGCAGCGGAAAGAACAGCAAAAAGCCAAGCAGCAAATGTAAGCAAACCTCTCGGAATCCCGCCGAACAGAAGTTACAATATTTAATTAAGTGTAGGAGATCATCATCATGTGGCAATCATTCAGCTTCCTCCAGCACACCAGATACCTTCTCACTTTCTCACAATACGAGTGTACTGGGCACTCGGAGGAGTACCTGCCTGCAGAGCAGTTGTTTTATGGTCATCTCGCGTGTCTCCCAATTTTGTCATCACTTTCTTTTAATTGGTTTATTCCGCTTTGCCTATCACACCATTTCGGTTACAATAATAGCGACCTGAGCGCCCTGAGCGCCCTTGAGCATTGGTAATGTTCTGCCAGCAAATGTTTGGAGTGGTTTTTAGTTCCATTTTGTGATTATGGAAATGTCTAATGAGATTCGGTAAAATGTGAGACGAACGTCATAAAAGACTGAGCAGCGAAACTGTGGAATTTAATAATTGAATATCTCTCTAGCCGAAAATTGAATTCACTTAGAGGGGACTCGTTCCATGTCCTTGCTCGTTAAAAAATCTGCTCCTTTGGCACAGGCGACGAGGCCTTAGCCGCGACAAAACGCAACAACGGGAAAAGCTAAAAAAATATGTAGTTGCACTTTGGAAAAATGGGAAAAAGAACAATGGCGAAAAGGGCTTCGGCGGATGGTTGGGATGGATGCAGTGCTGAAAATTGTACCGACGCGACCGACGCGACCGACGCGGCCGACGGTTGGCTGGTGGCACAGGACCCAGACAGAAGCCGATGCCAAACAAATGCTAATGAAAAGAGGCAGCAGAAAAAGATCCACAAACACTCAAGAGAGCGCTCTTTTTTATGGCCCTTGCCACTGTTTCCATTTACCATTTTCCATTTACCATTTTCCGTTTTCCACTAGTCTGCTAAATTAATAATAGAAAGTAACGAAGGAAAGGCGCGACGAGTGTATAATTAATTAAATAATAAGCCAGCGCCCCCCCCACAGCCCCCCCGCCAACGTGAATCGACTTTTTACTCTTTAAGTTTGCTGCTCGTTTAATATGCATGATCTTGTTGTTGGCCAAATGTTACAATGCAGCTCGTTACGATTTCATGGACTGCACAGAAGGCAGCCAAAAACATTTGTAATATTTGCCACACCCGCGTGGAAGAGCGGCTGCTGTTGCTGCTGCATGTGGCAGCATAATTAAAACTCCGTGTGTCGCATATTGCCGAATGCCGAAACTCTGCACAAAACTCTCCATAATCATGTAAAATTCTATTGGAAAGCAAACTGTGGAAAACGCATAATTAATGCATTAGGAAGAAGCTGGGCCCCGAATGGCGGGGGGACATGTGTACTCCCCGCTTGATTTATATTTATTGTGCGGATTGTGCCGCCGCTTCAGTATCAGATCTTACCAAATTGTGCACTGACATGGCCCACAAATGCCAGGCATAGTAGCAGCAGCAGTTGCAGTTGCAGTGGCATCGTTGGGTGTGAAGATGGCCGCGAGGGCGATGGCGATGGCGATGACGATGGCGATGGCGTCCGACGCCCCGGCGACTTCTTGGGGATGCCGCTGTGTGGCGAGCGTCTCAGCAACATGTTTCCAGTGTTACAGACAGTGCCGCCAGTGTTGTGTTGTGTTGTTAGCCGAGAGTATTAAACACCTGCTTTCGGATTTGTCCTCACTCACGCGCATTCAATATTTGTTTGGGTGGTGGTGGTGGTGGTGGTGCCGGTGGTGGATGGGTGGGGAGTGGTGTGGTGTGGGTGTCGGTCGAGTCGCTTCTTTCGTTTCACGATTTCTGTTTTTTTTTTTTTTTGGTTTTTGCTTTGTTTTTGTTTTGTTTCGATGTCAGTTTTGTATTTCAATTTTCAGCCGCTGCCTCGCCTCGCTTTGGCATTTAGTTGATTTCTCTCTGCGTTTGCCTTTACAATATCATTTCCTTTGTTTCACATTGATTTTTCACTTGTATTCTATCTTTTTTTTCCTTCTGATTTATTATTTTGTAGGTGTCGTATTTCAATCATTGAACATTTAGCACTTGGGTCTGCAAAGAAACCAGAGGAAGAATAATATTTCAGATTAATATAAAACAAGAGCAAAATCATCTAAGGTTTCTATGGAAATTGAAATGGAATTGGAAATAAATGTGACTTGTGGTATGGTATTTGTGGAATCTACCTTTTGTTGCGTTTTAAACTTAGCTTAAATCTGTCTTAAATGCACGAATATTTCGAGTTTTCATTAAAAATATCTACTTATTTGATGTTCAAGTCACTTAACATCTCATCGCATCGCATTGGAGACACACATCCTTAAGGACTTGTATTGTAATTGAAACCAATTCGCTTTTGAAGCCAGCTCATGTCTCCATTACTGATTAAATTTGTCAGTTTCGCGGAACGAGAACCAGAACCAGAACCAGGACAAGGACAAGGACAAGGGCTGATATGTATATTTGGTTATTCTGTCGGATGATTGAATATCAATTTTTGAGAATAAAAAGCCAATGCAAAAGCCAATTAATGTTCCTCTTGGGTATTGAAAAGTTAGACGCCAACAACTTTCAAAGATTTTCAATCAATTTGGTTTATTTGATTTTGGCTCGGACACAAATAACAACAATATTGATGCGATGCGATGTGATGCGATGCGAGGGAGAAAACTGGTCAAAATCAGGCCAAACATTGTATTAGTTCTTTCCGGCGCAATTTCCTAAAAGTATGCTCCACAATATTTTGTAATTTCTTTCGCTTCTCGTGTTTGCGTTGGTGTTTGTGTTTGTGTTTGTGTTTGTCCAGCAAACTCCCGACTCTTGACTATTGCCGAAGATGTTGGGCAGATTGGAGGGAAACGGCAGCGGCAGCGGCAACGGCAATGGCGATGGCGACGACGATTTGTGTATTTTCGAGGCCGCTCCGATATTGATTCCAATTTGTGGGTGCATGAGGCACGGCGTTGAGGCAGCCCCGAAGGCCATCCCGCCGCCATATGCCCACTGTTTGCTTGCCTTTTGCTCTCTGCCAAAGCGAACGAAGCGGGAAAAATAAATAAATCCCCAAGTATATGTATAGTATATGAAGAGGCGGCGGGTGCGGCGGCGGCAGCGGCTGGCGGGACCAACAAACATCGAATAGTATTAACAAATACTGAGCCAAAATACTGTTTTCCAATGAAAACGTGACTGGGGGGCCCCACTGAAAACCGCATGAAAATATTTATGTATGCCATCGCATAGACAAATTTATATTTCCCCATATACCATACTAGATATTGGCATATGTACGTATGTATGTATGTCTATAATACTTGACCAATATCTGGCGAGCCAACATCAACGTCAACGTCAAAAGCAGCGCAACGCCACACACCCAGCCACCCTCTATGCCGCATGCCGCATGCCGCACTCTCCACACACTCTGTCTACCCGCCCACACCGTCTGCTCTTTGATAAAACGTACGAGTGTGTGTGCTCTTATGAGATCTTGTTTTCTACATCATGCACGATACTTTATGGATCAATCTCCAAGCCCATAAAGTATAGCACCAGAATAAAAATATATGTAGATATGAACACCTGTATATCGAAGTGTATCGGATCGGGAATGTGAAAGATGGACCCCCACTGAGAGCTGCTCACCGGGTCTCGCTACAAGCCTGACAGAAATGACAGGAAGAGGGAGCCGCCTTCTTATTGAAAATCAACTCAATAATCATCTTAAAGCCATTCAGTTTAAATGGCTGTCAGAGCGGGCTGCGCGGAGGGGGCATCAGCCCCGATGTCTAGCTTACTAACTATCTGTCCATGGCCCTGCCACGCCATAAGCAGCTCCTTCGGGGGCCACCTCAAGGATCTGTTTCCGTGCGGACATTCTTGATTGACAGCAGCTTTTTCTGCTCGGAGGCCATTAATCAGCTTAAGCAGCCGGCGCGTGCGAAATTAAAATATGGCCAAAGTGAGACTCGGCTCCGGAATCGGCCCAAATGATGGCCAAATCAAGTGCCATCAGGTAGCACAATATATACACACATACACATACATATATATATATATTAGCAAATGCCTGAGGCACAGAGGACTTTGCTTTTTATGGGGAAAATAAAGTTTGGATTCCCATTCTTTGAGTATATTTCGTAGCTTCTTTTCCGCTCTTCCGCTTTTCCGAGTGTCTAATTTTTGCCACGTAATTTATCTCTCTCTGTTCTCGCACACACACATACACACATGTTTGTTGCTTCATTTATTCTCATCTCTCATCTCATCTACGACATTTCTCGTTTTTGCTACCTTTCTCTGCCGTTCTTTGGGATCTCTGTGTCTTTTGGCCGATTCGTATGGGCCTTGTGGCCATTCAACTGTGAGAGAGACAAAAAACGACGACGGAAACAACATAAAAAATTATCCCTGTTTCTTTTCGTTTCTTGGCTCTGCCAATGCGTTTTTTTTCCGCTCATATGTACACGAGATATACGACTATTGTGGGGGCTATCGCCTTTGTATGCATATAGCGAAATGATGGAAGGAGCAAACGGTTCCACTTCCACCTACACCTCCCCCTCGGGCACCGACAATCGTGGGAAATTAGGCAGAAACATATTTAATGCGATTTTCTTGATGAGATATCGTTTAATGGGCTTTTCTGTTTATTTTTGCCGAGTTTTTCCTTTGGCCAGAAAGTCGAATCGAAAGAAATCCTCTCCCCATCGATTCGAATGTTGTAAAAGATTAAGTTCGCATTTGACTAATGCACTAGTAGGTACGTTTCTCCACGGTATTCCCAGCACTTGAATGCGATTCCGGGTTATTACTTCAAAGGGAATCTCGTCGGTTCATAGAGCCAATTAAAGGCAGTTGAGATATTTGTGTGGGAAGTCTTTCTCCCCGACAGCTTTCTCCCGTAAACGACTCATTAAAGTGGAATCCAATGGCTTGGGAAATCAAACGAGAAGAAAAAGGAAATCCTCTTCCCGGGCCTTCCCGGGCAGTGTTTAGCAATTTTTGCCAGCTTTCAGCTTTTAGTTAATGAATCGCGAATACACAACTTGAACCTGCAACGATAAATATTCACCGGGTTATGCGTACGGAGGAGGCTCTCAACGACTTGTCGACACGTGAGAGGCGCATTAAATAATTTCCAGGTGGCATCATATGCGGGTCGCTTTCAGCGTTCAAGGGTCGAAAGCGGTTGGACCTTTCACAATTAAAGAGGGGGAGGAGAAACGGCTGGGGGGGGCGGAGTGAGAGACGAGTGAAAAGTATATATCATGACTGGCCACACTTTTCACTGAAGTGCGGTGGTGTGGTGGGTGGCGGGTGGTGGGTGGCGGGTGGTGGGTGGCGGTTGGTTAAGGCTAAGCCAAGAGTGGACGCTTCCACTTCTCTTCTCTGTGCTGCCGTGCAAAGACAAACCCATAAAAATGTCACAATTCATCAACGACGCTAAGTAGTTTCATGTTTTTCTTTTTTTTTTTTTGCTCTTTTTTTTTTGTTCTAACGTCACGAGAAGAGTGGCTACAAATTTGTTGAGCTTTTAGCGTGACCTCAGTGAGCTTTTGTTTCCTTTTTGTTCAAAGACTCCTCCTGCCAAAAACTTTTCCCTGAAGCATGCAGCATACGAGTACCAGTACGGGTACGAGTACGAGTACGAGTGTCTGTGATATATGCCAACAACATATACATAGATATAATCGTTTGAACTTTAATGGAGCAATGTCCTGACAACATCATCAGCATCATCCTTGGAGCAGCAGGAGCCGCAAGAGCCCCAGCCCCTGCCCCTGCCCCAGCCCAAACCCCAGAAACTTATTATCAAAACAGCAATCAACAACTTTTAATAATTTTCCATAGATGCCACAGCAGAATGGCGACGCGTCGTTACGCTCCACACTCGTGATGGAAAAAATAAATAATCATCTTTTTTTATCGGTGCGTGGAACCCCCCCCGCCCCCCACCGACTAACTGAAAGAATAAAAATAAAAATAATAGTAAAACAAAAAAAAAAAATAAACCAGGAAGCAAATGGGAAATGGAATATGCGGAAAAATGTATTCGCTGAATATGTCACAGAAGCTTTTAAACAATTTTCACCCAGCTTTTTTTTTTGGTTTTTACTCGCTGCACGAGTATCTTGTCTTATTTTCTTCCATTCAGTTCGTATTTTATTTTCTCTTTTATTTAAATGCATTTATGGCTATTTTTGTTTTATTTTTCACCGAGAAGCTCATGCATTTCAGTTTTTATATTGTTTACGCTATTGGAACTTTTCAGTTCTTGTCGGTTTTTCAGTTATTTTTCGCTCGTTTTTGGAACTGAACTGAACTGCGTATGCGAATCCCACAACAAAGTTGGGTCTGGTGGAGTGAGTGTCTAGTGGTCTCAACGAGAGACGAGAGACCAGGCCAGAGACCAGAGCCACAGAGAGAGAGAGAGAGAGAGGGGGAGAGGGAGAGAGAGAGGACAGACATGGCAAAAGTGAAATGGTTATCGCGCTTGTTTGATTTAATTTATTGGCTTAGCGCCATTGTGGCCTGATGTGCAACACTTTACACAACACTTTTTTTTTACCTCCGCAACCCCCCCGACCCGAGGTGCTGCCGCTGCCACGGCTACTGTTGGTGCCACTGCTACTGGCTGGTGGCTGTTGGCTAGTGGCTGTCGGCCAAAGGGGCAAGGACGATCCCTGGAGTGGCTTTTTGGGGATTGGGGGCCTCTGCCCGGCAGGCAAGCGCTCGCTTCCAGTCAATCTACTCGGTCTGCCGACTTTATACCCATAGTGGTTGCATGTTGTTGAGTTTTTATATGATTATTCTTTTCATTTTGCATCCCCCAACCCAACCCGCACCACGCCACCCCACCCCACCCCGCTATATTTTTTGTGTGTTTTCTTCTCTGATAAGAGCTGCTGATTGCTGGCTTGTCTTGCGGGAAGGAAGCTCTTCAGTGTCCGTGTGTGTGTGTGTGAGATGCGGGAAAATGTGTTGTGGTTGTGGTTTTGGCTGGACATTGATGACAGAACTCAATTTATTCAAATATTGTATGCTGATTG